AGGTTCCCTTTTCTTTCACTGCCTTCAAGAGTCCTTATTTGTCTTTTACTTTTAGCAGCTTGATTAGTCTGTACCTTGGTTCCAAGATACATAATATAAGAAAGCTTCCCTTTCTTATACTTGTAGTAGATCCATGTGAATGAATATGCATATCCACATCATTCCCTAAATTTGTGAGGTTTTCAGCCATGATTCCTTCAAATAATCTTTCTGCCCCTTTCTCCCCTTTCTTTCTGTCTTTTATAACTCTTATAATGCTTAGGTTGGTACCCTTGATGGCATTCCAAAAATCCCTTAAGCAAGTTCACATTCCTTCATTTTTGTTTTCTTTTGCTCCTCAGACTTGACAATTTCAAATGGCTTGCCTTCACATTCATTTATTTTACTCTGCATGTTTGATTCTTCTATTGCAACACTCAATTTAGTTAGTCATCTTATTTTTCAGATCCAGAATTTCTGTTTGGTTCCTTTTTTAATGATTTCTGTCCCTTTCCATAAATTCTTAAGTGTTCCCTTTATAACTTTTCTTTGACAAAAGTGCATGGCATTATTTGTTTCTTAGATATTTGATAAAATTCATAAACTATTTTAAAAAATTCTGTTTACTGTTTATTAATTTTTAATCAATGTTCAGCAAACACATATAGCTCCCAAACTAAAACCACAACTATAACAAAGAAGGAACTATAAGTGAACAAACCTATATGAAAACATCAGTCTTCATGAGAATTGCATCATAGTAGCATAGAAAAACAACATTAAGCCATAATATACAGTAAATGATGTCACATTTAGGAAGTAATAAGTATTGTGAAAATAAAGATGGAGAGTCCGGGAATTCGAGTGGGGTGAAAGTCTTGTTGAGGTTTTAAGTGGGGTGATTAGAGTAGGACTCAGAATATGGTATTTGCTGGTGTAAGACTTGAGGGAAATGAGGGAGTAGACCTTGTGGATAGCTAGAGAAAGAGCACTCCAGGCAGAGATAGCCCAGTGGGGAGTCATGCCTGCTATGTTTTAGGATCATCATGAAAATAGTTTGATTATTTCATTTTAAAAGTATAGGTTTACTAGAGCAATCAAAGTAATATTTGTAGATGAATGTTAAGATCCTAAAATAAGATACTATTGCCATTGTTTTATGGTCCTTTTTTGGTTGTGGGAGGAAAAAAAACCAAGAGCTTAAAAAGATGATTCTTGATTATTAAAATGTAGTTCTATGTGCCATTTCAAAATTATGATAAATACATACATCAAATACAGTAAATATACACAAAGCTAAAATATAATATAAAGTAAATAATATAATATAATATATAATATAATATAAAATATAATATATAAAATATATATTATATAATATATAATATAAAGTAAATCAATATAAATATTTATATAAATATATATAAAGTAAATAAATACAAAGCTAATTCTTTCATTTATAGATTATGTCATTAAGAATTTAATTGCATATTTTGATTTTATTAGGGAATTTTTTATTTTGTAAATGCTAAAGGACTACAAAAATATGAACATTCATTGTACTATAATTATTAAATAACTAGGTATACTTACTGATGTTTTATTAAGATTAAACAGTTCTATAGTGCGAAAAGCCTACGTTAAGCATCAGGTTTGCTTCTAATTCATGAAAGTTATTAAATGTTTGATTTTGAGTAAGTCATTGTAGGCTAAATTTTGTTGGGAGTTTTGTTTGTTTTAAATGGTATTCTGAGGGTAGTTTGTTTCCATAATACTCATGTTTTTGTAATTCTGTCATTATTGCATTTTATAAGTATAGTAATAAACTGCTTTAAATACTTTAGGCCAACTCCTATTCATGTATATTACCCATATCTCATTCTGCTGTTTTCTATAATTTTTTCATGACCATTTCAGAATTAGGTGTTCTTCACCTAGATTGCTCCAGCACTGTGTGCTTATTTTTGTTACTTATCATTCTTCATAATATATATATATATATGTATATATATATATACACATATATATATATATATATATTTGTTATCTATCCATGAGTTACCTGCCTTCATCACACTAAAGGCTAAAATACTTTGCAAACATTTGGTGTGCAGTCATTTTTAAACTGATTTTAGAGATCAGTAGTTAATTCCTGATAATATAGCAGAAATTCAAATGTGTTCAATAGCATTACTGCTTGAAAGGTAGCATTCCATACAATTAATGTTTCTCTTGGTTGAAAATTCCTACTTCAGACATTTCAAAAGATTTAATTTGATCTTTTGGTCTAACTTTTATATTATATGGATGGCGTAAATGCTTATTTGCATGACTCAAGTAGCTAGATGTAAGAAGTAGTTATCTTGTCACTGATTATGAAGCAACTAAAGTGGATGATGATTACTGATTACCTCCCACTTGTTCCTTTGCATTTTGGATCAAAGGTGCAAATTTCATAAAGATTAAGTGTTCTAAGAACTATTCATAAGTATGTTTTATATAATGATTTAATTTTGAGCGGCCATTCATAGCCATTGACTAGATTATGTGCTGTTAACTAGAATGAAGCAGAATATGATCTGTATTTTGTTTAGATTTTCAAATTCTTTTCAATTCTTCTTTATTTCTCTTGCTAATTAAAGATCTTTTAAAGAACCATATTGATTCATTTATTCAACAACTGTCTGCCTAACACCTCCTATATGCCAGCAGAGTTAGGTTCTATTAGATTTTGGAGCAAACAAGACAGATAAGTCTTCTGCTGTCAGAACTAACAAATAAATCAACATTTGTCCATTTAGTCATCACTTACTAATTCCCTGTCAGGTGGTAGGCATTGTTCTGGGAACTGTGGATACAGTAGTTAAAAAAAAAAAAAAATCAGTCCATATCCTCTTGGAGCTTCTATTCTAATGGCAGAATGAAATCTGTAGGGAAGTCTAACTCTACAAAGGTTGGTCAGGAAAGGCCTTTATAAGAAAGTGATGTTTGAACTGAGATCTGGAAGACTGGGAAGACAAAAGCTAATGGAAGCCAAACACAAATTTCTATGATAGGAATAAACTATGATATGCATTGGTTTGTAGTTTTTGAGGTGAGATTAAGGGATTTCTTTCATTGCTGCTTCTGTTTTTTAAAATTGATTCAAAATTTTGTGCTGGAGAGCAAAGAAAGAACGTTTTGTGAGAGAACAATTTGAGGAGAGAGATCACTGGGATTTAGTCTCTAGAGAGAAGAGACTAAGGAAGCCAAGGAGGAGCCAAGGAAGAATAGTAAGATTGCTAGGCAGTGTTCAGAGCCTATTTCATGTTTTTTTTTTTTTTTAAAGATTTATTTATTTGTGCATACAGAACTGGGGTACAGGCCAGAGGCTCAGGGGCGGTGAGAGGCTTCACCAGAGACAGAGTGGGGAGCAGAACAGGCAGATCGACGAAGTACACTGCTGAGGGGAGCAGCGGGCGGGTCAGGAGAGGTCTGGCTCACCATGTGGTCTCCTCCGGGGCAGGCAGCAGACGGGAATCGAACTAATGCGGAAGTGGCTTCAGACTCTCAGTGCTGTGCTTTAACCCCCTGCGCCACCAGGGAGGGCCTATTTCATGGTTTTTTACACTGAATTTAAAGTGAACCTAATCAACAGAGGTGTGCAGCTTGCCCAGCTACAGGTGCCAGAGTTGATAATTTTGTTCTTTACCCCCGGGGATTATGGTGGAGAAAGAGCAGTATAAGAGTGTTACTATAATTCAACCTGTAGAATTTTTGGAGGGAAGGAGAAAATGAAGAGGAAATGATGACTGAAGAGTGCTGATGTTTAGAAAGTGAGGACTCTATGGATGAATGGCTTGGATGAGTTTGAAAGCAGTAGTCAAGACAAGTGAATTTCATGGACTAATATTACGTAATAGTAACACATGATTACTCTATGCCTCCTATGTGTATAACATACATGTACCATTGTACTCAACTGCTTAACATTTTCAAAAGTGCAGTTTTGCATAGATAATCAAAAAATGTGAGGACCCACAAGAAATGCTGAGGGTTCTCTCTATTCTTTTAATTTCATTTTTTGTAATTTTTACAAATGGTTTAAAGTATTGTAGGGAATACATGGAAGATTAAAAGCACTGCTTGAAATTAAAGAAACTTGGAACCTTATCAGGTTATATATAAAGCTCCTTTATAAAATGAATTGACCTCATTGACCTAATTATTTCAGCACTGTACCAAGTGCTAGGCAGACTGCCAAATAAAGGGGGGTGCAGAGTAGAGTACAATGGTGTCCTCTAGCATTCCAGTACAATGGTGGGGTGTGCAACACAAGTGGTGTGGGGAGTTTGGAAGAAGGGATTGCAAGCTAAGACCTAAACACAGCTTGACTGAGTATTTAGCAAAAAAAAAAAAAAAAGTTAAAACCAGGCAGAAGTTTTGCTTTGTAAGATGCTCAAGCAAGAAGGAATTGACTTGAAAGATCCCAAGTGGCTGGATTATGGTGTCCTAGAGAAGCCGTACAACACATGCCTACAAGATTAAACAAGAACCATATTGTAAAGGACCTTGTAGGTTATTTTGTAGTAATTTCTTCCAAAAAGCAGTGGAGGAGGGGAACCCATTATTGGATTTTATATTAGAAGTGCTATAAGACATGATTGCTCACTTTGATAAAGTTGAATTTTATCTAAAATTTTTTGATTCACTGTATTAACACCTGAGTATAAAGCAGTAAAGCAAAATATTTAATATGTTCTTTTATGTTGGTCTGAAAAGAATTAATAGCAATTAATGTGGGACTGTGTCAAACATAGAAATGAAGCCCTGCTTGCAAAATTTTATTACAATCATATTAACCTGCCTGCAAAAAGAATTGTTATTAAAATTCCTCTAACAGTGCATTCGGTTGCTGCTGTATATTTTCCATCATATCAGTGAATATACTAATTTCCCATGAGTTTATGTGTGCCATTTCATAGAAGCAATGAAATGTAGATGAAATTCTGTACTCTTGTCTCCAGTGATTTGAACGGAAGATGCTTCCATTAATTGGAAAAACAATCATCTTTGATAATTTTCCTGACCCTTCTGATACATGGGAAATCATTGAAACAATCGGCAAAGGAACTTACGGGAAGGTTTTTAAAGTGTTGAATAAGAAAAATGGCCAAAAAGCAGCAGTCAAAATTCTGGATCCCATACATGTAAGTCATACTGGATTATTTCCCCCTCTAACCAACTTTATTTTTATCTGTATTTAACAGTTGGAAAGTCTGTAAGTATGCTCTCTTTATTTTTCACTGAGTCAGTTCCAGTTTGAAGAAAATGTAAGAAAAGTAACTTACTAGATTTTCCTTGTTTGTATGTTTAACATGTTGGTATATTTTATATGCTCAATATATAAAATAGAGCTTCTTAGTGCAGTGCTTTAACCCGCTGCGCCACCAGGGAGGGCCTGGATTCTGTCTTTTAGAGCATTTGCAGAACCTGGAAGAAGTGTAGCTCTACTGTAACTCACCAGTGAACTGGATGAGCAAGATCACATATTCCCCAACTTCTTCTGACAGCAGCTCCTCTGATTACTTGGGCCTGTGGCATGATGGAAATGAAGTGATAAGTGTGGGGAAAACCTTGGTATTTAAACCCTTGTCACAGCTTTTCCATTAACAAACTGCAAAAGGACTCTGAGACTTTGTTATTCTTAGAAAGGCTCATTTTTTGAGAATGTATTTTTTACTAAACCCATCATAACTATAGTGTTTCATATATTGAGCAGAAGAGAGGAGGAGTGATGTTGATCTATCAGTAGAAAATTAACTACATTGAAGGGATAAAGTGAGAGGCATAAGCCCACGCTTTCATGCATAGTGTCTTCACTTTCACCTAATGGAAAGTTCTTTACCATTTAAGATGAGGGAATGGAGACCCAGGATAAGTTGTACCAAAGTGACTATATACCTTTCCAATCTCTGCAGGTTGCAATTAGAGTTTGGAGTTCACAGTGTCAAGACAAGCAGCTCTACTCAGATCCCAGTCTCTAACCCCATAATCAGTGTCTCTCCCATTTTTCTTATTGGAGAAGAAAAATGACTTATGAATACAGATAGCCGCTGTTCTTTCACAATATGCTCATGTTTGGTATAACACTAACCATATAAGTTCTGTTTTGTTGTTTTAATGAAACATCAATTTCACAACGATAGTATGAAATTTGTTCTTTTGCTGCTTTCTCATCATAGCGTATATATTTTTCAAAGAATTATTAATCTCTTCTTCATTCATCATGTCATAAGTCAAATAAAAAAGATGTACAACTGAGAGATTATAATCTTAATAAAATAAATTGAAATGACTCCAAGCATTTAAAGGCACAGAGTGGCTTTTTTATTAAAAGGATTGTGCTGTCATAGATTTTGCACTAGTAACTTTCTCTCAAGAATGGGAAGAAACAGCAATGGGTGGTAGAATTGGAGTCTAGTCCTGCCTCTGATACTAACCAGTTCTGTGTCTCTAACTTTTCTAAACTTTAGTTTCTTCCCCTCAAATTAGAGTTCTGATGTAAAATTCTTCCCAACTCAGTGATTCTGTCTTAAAACAATGTAGAAATTAAATATTACTGTAAAAGCAAGGTTAGAGGGCTTTCTCTTATTTATTATTCAAGTTGTTTCAGGGATAGTGGTTTTCTAGAAACACAGTTAAGTGATCTCATTTTTATTGACCAAATAGTGACTTACTCTGCTTCTTATAAATGAACAATTAACTAAAGGTTATATGCCATCTTTTATAATTAAATTTTATTTTTTCAGAATGAATTTATTGATAGGAATTTATTGCTCATATAACTAGTTTTTTATTGCTTCTAAGTATTTCATTAAAAACCAAAGTGGGCCCGCCCTGGTGGCGCAG